CCATCATAGCCAATCCTGTTATCCATGGACAGATGACCTGAACTGCTTACCACGGCTACACTCTTAAAACCAGGATAATCTTTCACTGGCAGCATTTAGAGCCTAGTTACACTCATTCTGTCACCTCAGCTTCTGCTCTACCTCTTCTGCTATATCCAGGTTATCTTTCCCCAAGTGAATTGAATTTGGAGCGGCATGTATCAGAGATGAGCTTTTCTCCGGATCTGTGGCTCCCAGCTTTTAAGAGAAACTTAACTCACATGGCATACATAGTTTTTACTTCCCTTTTAGGTTGCAGCTCATTCACATGAGGGGAAATGGTGTGATTTCATCCCTGTGTGATGATAGCTGGTCATCTATCTCAGCTAGATAGGGCAGTATAGCAAAAGGAGGCTTTGGGTCAACTTAGCTTGGTGATTAAGATGGTAAGTCAGATCAACGCAGCAGGCTACTTTGGGAGTCTTGCATCATGAAACCACATCAGTTTGACTACCCTGTTGCCTCTTTTCCTAGCCAAGATAAATCCTAAACTATGACCACCAACATTTAGGACAATCTCCCACTTGCTCACTAGGAAATCACAAGGCTTCCTCTAAAAGCAGCCTTCTGACTGAATAAACTCAAAAAGGTCTTCTGCTCAGTATGTATTTATAGCAACAGCACCTATGAGTGATGTTGGATACCCTGATACTGAAAGCAACAGAATGCTGCAGCAACTTAGATGAAAGTCAAATTCAAAGCATCCCTTATTAAAATCCAGACCAATCAAAATCATGCAAAATTGCCAATTAGCTGTGAGAAAGTTGCTGTGTTAGCCATATCTGACCATGATGGCACCACAGCTCCCTCAGGACAGTGTATTCTGCGTGTTCACTCTGGTATTTCAATAGCTTGAGAATTTTGCTCATTTTTCCAGATGAATTCAGTCTGGAATTCCAGAACATGGAATTTTTGCTAGCTCAACCTCTCAGCAGAATTTATGGACAGTTCTTCATGCTGAAAAGAGGAAAAATGGAAAAGCAGCTGAACAAACAGCAGTCTTCAGGGATAACAAAGAGTGCAAAACCCAGTAGCTTTGACTACAACTACTTGCATCCCTTATCAGCAAAAGCTCAGGAAAGGCCGTTGTCCTACAAGCGTGCACCCACTCTGCTCCTCCATCACTAATTTCCACTTTTTCTCTTTTCAAACCACTGTCTGCAGTATGAACCTCAGTCTGCTGCCATTATTGCTGATGCTGAAGGAGTTCAATAGCCATTAACCACTCCACCTAGACTAGCAGGAGCCCACTGTAGCTGGTATAGCTATTTCCAGAGACAAACAGCACTAACAGACTAACGGATTAAGAGCCGTTTCCTGCATTCTACAGCTAAACCCAAGTATCCTGTCTGATAATTTGTCATGTGTGTTTGTATTGAATAGCGATCACAAAGTCATTTAGCATTCAGCACAAGCATATCTCCGACTGCACACTCAAAATGACTTACCAGCAGATCAAATCAGAACTTCAATGTGAGAGGTAGGAAGAGATTTAAAACATCCTGTTCTTTTTAGACGATTTGTATGCCTTTTTCCAACATAATGCTTGACCTCGTCTTTCTCCTTAAGAGGAGTTACGAAGCTTTTTCCTAATGCGTTCTCTCTCTCTCTCTCTCTCTTATGGAAACACTACTAGGAACAGAAGGGAGTTGCAGCTCATCCCAAGAAACTTGCAGTGTAAACAGCCAACGCAAAATATTTGTGAGAGCACTTTACAAAGAGTGACCTGATGCACATTTAGTGGTTTATCCAAGATCAGCCTGACCGCATCAGTGGCTGAACTGAAAAATAGCATTTAGATCACCCTATTTGCAGACTATGCCTTTACTAACTAACCTCTCCCAACAGGCCAGGATTGTCTGCAGGCAAACATCCATTGACCATCCATATTGGCTTCTCCTTGGAGCTAGCCATTGTGCTAAGATGTTTAAAGAACACATGATGTCATCATGAGACTACTATAAAAATTCACGTTCACCCAGAAATAAGATTACTCCATGATTGTGAATGTACTGTCCTGGAAAATGCATCAAAATCTAGCAACTGCACTAAAGGCAACACCTTATACTCTTGTCAGTAGAGAAGACTTCCTGTCATATTTGGCCCTGTCACATCAATTCTGCACAGCTTTTGGACCCTTGACCCAGCAAGCATCATGCTTTTTACTGACTGTTCTCTCGTAAAAATCCATTAATCTAGCTAGGGGTTTGCCATAAATGGACATATAACTGCCACATAATTCAGATTTTATTTTTTTTATTCTCCTGTTATTTTTCAGCTGTTATTTTCAACCAATGTGCCACAATGTTAAATCATCATTAGCAGTTGATAAAGCTCCTCTTCTGGTTGTAAAGTCTTCAGCAGAGGACCAGACTGCAGAAGAGAAGATTAGCCCTCAAACCCACAAGTGGGTTCTACAAACTGAAGATAAAAATTTGAAGGTGTATAAAAACAACTCTTGCAAAGGAGTTATCACAGCAAAACGCCACTTATTTAACAGCTAATGTTTGTTAACTAAAAAAAAAAAGCAAGTTTCAGACTACAACTTTGGCTTACGATCTCATGAAATGTTGAACATGCCACCACTGTTTCCTGCTAACCTCGTAACAGTCTGCACTCCTAAAAGATTTAAAGCACTCAGGCCCAGAATAAATTTTGAAAGGAATGATTTCACATTTGTCCCTGGAGAAGTAAGTTACCTTATTGCAACATCAATCCAATTGCAGCACTTCACTCCACTGGAGCAACACATCACTGTCTAGAGATGGAGTTCTTGAAAGATCTGCTAGCAACAGAACTGAGCTGTGCCAACTGGTAGGCAGCTAGTATACAAAATCATCAGCAAAGGGGTAGGAAAGCACTGGAAAAGAGACTTAGCCTTCCAGAAACCTCAGATTGAATATTCAAGAAAAATAAAGTGAGCAATTTCTGCTATTTGATCAATTCAGCTTCTTTAGTCATGACGATGCATTAGTGTTCAACCTCCAGAGGTGAT